AGTTGCTTCTGTCTTTCTTTGAAGCCATTAAGCTCGTAATGTTTGGCGAATGTTTGAAGCAGTTGTTGCTTGGCTTCTTTCGGCACTAAGCATGTGTTTATTCAATACGACGGCAAAAATGCAACTTAAGAAGTTGAAATGTTGTTCAATCTTTTCAGAACCATAGTCCACGATAATCCATATTCCCAGTTCAATGACTTTATAGAACCATTATTCTACTAAAAATAAACATCCCTAAATCAATCCAACCACAAGAAATCATCCTCAAAAGGGCACTTCTCATACTTATAACCACGACCAATATAACCTACCCTTACAGATTTGCAAAGAGAGTTGGATAGTTAAAATTATAAGCCTACAGATTCAGCCTTAACTTAGTACGAATAGAATCTTAACAAAAGGTTAACCTCTGATACAAGACTATGAATCTGATAATTTCTGATAATAAAATGAAAGACGAGACAAATTGTACCACCAAGATAAATACCATGTCTGCCAAAAACTTCGAAAATGGCTTATATATTTGAAAATAGACACCTGCCTAATTAACAAACACAGTTATCAAGGTAGGGGGAGACATTATGGTTACAACAAATCCTGACCTATGAAATGTATTGAAGACTCCCCCCAGCCTTAAAAGAACTTCCTAATAAATAGCCATTAATAGCCAAAGCTGCATGTAGTCTAAAAGTTTCACAAGAAAATGAAAAATACCAAAATATTCTCTCCCCTCAGAATTGGAGATGTTTTAAATCAAAATGGACTATATATGCTACAGCAAAGTTAAAATGGTGTCTCAGATGGAAAATTGGAGAGGGTAACACCCACTCTTTCTACTCTGGAAATCCTCATCTCAAATAGTGCGTGAGCTCTCTTCACACATAGACAATATGCTCGTCCATATCCAACATCAACAATGCACATAAATTTATGATTCAATCAGACAATACTTGGTGCGTCCCCTTCCCAATTGCAAACCGCACGATTCCAACGAGTTCTAATGCAATCGACCAATGGTGCATGCTGAGGCGGCTCAGGTTTAGATACTTCAACTGAATTCTGTTTCTCGCCAGAAGGCCCTGATGCATCTGCCATGAATTCCTCTGGTGTCCACCTTGGGGGAACTGAAACTCTCAATTTTGTCAGTCTAGGTCGTTGTATCGGATTTTCAGTTCCAGACAATGCCTGGCTGCCGTTCACAATTGATTTTGCTATCCCATTAAAGTGATAAAGATCAAAGACCTTCTTACCCATCAATCCTGTTGAATCCTTCACACCACCTAAACTCTTATCTAAATCCAAAAGAACCTGCCAAAATTCACTCCAAACAATGAAACCCGTGCCGCAAAGATGCTCAAGCTTCTCGGACGGAAGGTTAATGTTTGTTTCCTTTAGGACTTGATGGAAGCCTTCCACGCTAATGAACCCACCACCTCCACTTTGGTCTTGGGCATCAAATGCTCTCCGGATTTGTGATTCTCTACTTTCAAGTTCATTTTCATCCTGGACTTTAGTATCAAGAGCAAATAACACCGTATAATGAGATTCACTTCCCACTACCCATATTGGCCACCTTGGACATTTCAGATACTGGCCAACCTTACAAAAATTGAGGGACTCTAGCAGAGTGAGGAATCCAACTTCCACGGGTGTAGAGATGCCATTCACAAACATGCCACCTCCTAAATCCATCTTCCCATCAAACACATTAGCAGCAGCATTTCCAGAAAGCAGTAGGTTTACGATTTCCTTTTGAGAAAATCATGTTTAGGAATCACCAAGGGCAGTTATAATTGTAGCATATCAAGTTATCGTAATGAGAACTATGTAATGAAATTTTCATCAATTTATAGATACCTGTGATGCATGCCCAAATGGAGCAGTTACCAATGGTTGACTGGGGTCATCCCTATCTGCTTGAACGTTTTCCTAAATGGTTTATGAAGAATGAATAAATGCATTAGTCACATGACTCACTTCAATGACAAAGCAAAAGGTTAATGAATATAACTGAAAAAGAATGTGAAGAGCCATGTAAACTAATTAAAACTTTGTTCCAGATAGCTCTAGAATAGACACTAAATTTTAACCCAGGAAGGACTGGAGTAGCACACAAAATAAAGGCACCTAGCTTTTCATAGTTACAATGGTCAAAAAAATATTTGGTTTAACAAATACACACCTGGGTTTTTGAACCGAAAAGAGTAGCTATATTATGATGTATAACTTCGATAACAAAACAATCCAGAATATTCATTGACCAAATATTCTCCTTTAACTAGTAATTGATTAAATAAACAGAAATATAAAACGGCATCCGCACCTGGAAACATTTCCTGCCCAAGTTGCTGGATGTTTGAATAATTAATCTAACAAAATAAGAACATGGCAATGGCATATAGGAAAGCAATGAATATTGTTTTTTATTTTTTTGAAAAAATGAGTCAATTTTTAGTGTATGTTGTATTTATTGCACATCTGTTCATGACGACACGTTCCAGTAATTGCGTCTATGTCGTTAATAAGGAACTATTGTTCTTTTCTGAATAATAAAAAGCAAGAACAATCACAAGAAAAAACTGGGGTATATGATATATCAACATACCAGTCCTCGAGAAAGCAAGGCAGATATTAGAAAAAGTAACGCTCCCATACGACTACGAAAAGCAGGGAGCATTGCTTGAAGCTTCTGAAATGCACTTGAGCGCGAAGTGTATGTGTGAACTCTCAGAACCTTCTGCAAGTCAGAGCCAGAATCAATTGAAAGATCTTCAAGTGCTTTTGCAATAACCTGTATAAGAAGATTAAAAAAAAAAATAATAGAAGTGGAATATTTAGTTTATAATCATTGTAATCAAGTTTCATCTTAACATGCTTCCTACCCTACATAATAGTGTGGGACTTTAACGTAAATAGTATCAGCATTATTGCATTATCAGTAGAAGTTTGTCATAAAAGGGATTAATGAAGGTACTGTAACAGCACAGGTCCACTTCATAACCCGACCAAATGTTACACGAGTGTGGAAAAATAACTATGTTTACCTCGTCCGCGGGGCATTCAACGGACCCCTCAATGTCACCATCAAGAACATTGAGCGATGTTATTACAGCTTTTTCATTACTTCCACACAGAAAGAGTATCTCACTCATACTCCTCACCAAGGCTCTGTTTAGGAGCAGAAAAAATTACAAACAATTTTCAGTAATGGAAAGGAAACCAGCGAGTAAAAGAAAGATAACCAAAATCTACCAAATGAACTAGCATTACTTTCCAGGTAATCACAGTACGTAGACTGCCAGATATGCCTCATTCAAGAAAATACAAGATCCTGTATTGTGGTTCACAATAGTTTGCAAAATTTCGTTTAAACTTTGAATCCGTTTCTATATATATATATATATATATTGTATAGTACCTAATATAATTGGTTATTTAATTTAGAAATATGTAATACTTCTTGGTATCAATATGAATCCCAAAACAAACTTAGAATTAGCCAGAGAATAAGATGCCAATCATAACAATAACAATCAACCTAACAAGAAATATAACTAAAAATGAGGTTTCATCGTAATTCTAGCCCAAGGATGTCAATTTCGTTCGCCGGTGTTGCCCCATTTCGAGGTGTTGGCCTGGGCCACATGGCAGGCTCGTGTCACGGGCTATTTTTGGCCCGTGATGAGCCGGACTTAAAAAAATTAAAAAAATAAAACCATACAGGCAGCTTCTTGCTACCTTCGTAGACAAAAGCTATCTAAAATAAATAAATAAAACATTAAATCATTTACAGGCAGCTTGTAATTCTGCCTGACACAGCAGCTGCACGTTGCCTTTGCTGATATTTAAAAAAAATAATAATAATAAGTCCCGAGCCATCTCGGGTCGAGCCTAAATTTTTTGGCCGAGCACTCGGGCCAAAAGAAATCCGAACTATTGTTACTCGAGCCAAACCCGATCCTCAAGTTTCAGCTCGCAAGTTGGTTCGACTCGACTCGTTGGCATCCACATTCTAGCCACAAAAGGTTTAACTAGACATGTTTGGATTGTACAAATACAAGTTCTTGGATGAATTTATAATCAGATGAGTTGATAGGAGAGGAATAAAACCCTCAATGATGAATTTCTTCAACAATCCTGGATCTCATTTTCTTCGCCTTCAAGAAAACACGAGAGATAATGAAAACACTCCAATTGCCTCTAAGATCTTCTATAATGTGGTCTTTTTGTTTAAAATAGAGTACCTCTATTTATAGTCTTTTATCAACCTTGGAAGTCGCGCCTTGAAAGATACCCAAAATGTCCTTTATTTTAAGTCAAGAATCAAAATTCCTGAAGCTTATTTGATCGAGCTACAAGGACTTGATGTTCCTGAATTCTCCCATCCATGGCCGTGAGCTCTAGTTTGCGGAACTCGGTGTCCTATTTTCAAATGCACATAACCTTTGATCCACAACTGTGAATTCGGATCCCTTTTGTGTTAAACTCCAATTTCAATTATTTGTCTACTAGTATATCATTTGCTTTGTGTGGATCTTTTTATCAATTTTTATGCTCTAATTCCTCGTATGCTCAGCTCGTACATTCTTCCCTTTACTTTTTTGGTCTTTTTTGTCCAGCCTTCCTTCCTTTTACCTTCAATCATGTTCAAATTGGAGTTTTAACATGTGAAAATAAAATAAAATACAGTGAATAGTAATTCACTCAATTAATTCAAATTAAGTCTTGATTAAGGACTTAGATAATGACATACCTATTCGTCAAATTTACTTTCGCTAGTCCCAATCAAAATTATGTGCTCAACTCTTTAATATATGTTAGAATATGCTTTCAGTTCAGCAAAACAGATCACATGTGCAGAACACCAGCTTAATTCAGCATGTGGTNTACTCCAGCTCAGCATACCAGCACATGGATCAACAGAAATTCCCAGCAACTCCAGCTCATGTTCACAGCATGCACACACCTCATTCTATCCTATTCTAGATCCTTCTTGTTGTAGTTAGTTTGTTAGATTTACTCTATAAATAGATATCTTGTATGCATTGTAATCTCAAGTTGAATGAATACAATTTCATCTTCTTCCCTGCTTTAATAGCAGGTTCTATCCTTTCAATTCAGGTTCTATCATTTTCGTTTTATTCACTGCATCTGTCTTTAATTTCTGCTGCTGATTAAGATCAATTTCCCCTGTTCTTCTGATATGTTAATGCTGGTTGTATTTTATTTTCCTTCATGTTTCTGCTGGTGTCTCTGCTGGTGCTAATTCATTCATGATCTCTGGTTATTAGTTCTTGCTGGTTTTCAGTTTCTCAACAATATACACGACCAAAAAAATAAAACTAAAGACTCACTTCATTAGATGTCTCATCAAGAAGATAATTAATTCATAATAATGCTACAAAATAATCCATAATAAGCTCTCAAAATAATGCTACAAATGGAATTGGACTTATCCTATACTCGACAGGTATGTGCACATAGCCAAATCCAATTATTATCTATTTGCAGTTAAAACTGCATAGGAGGATAAACTTTAAACCCTTAATGGTAAAATTCTTCCATTTTCCTTTCGTATAATGCGCACTCCAAACTTGATACTTATTCTCTCCCTGAGTGCTATTTCTAAATGTTACTCCCAAATTACTTATTAGTTTCTCGCTCAAGTTCGATTGGTTTGAACAAATAAAAGAAACTAGTTAGACACATGAAGATTCTCTATAATTAGCCTTCAAGTTTTCACGAAACAAGTCAAACTCACTAGTTATCGATATCTCAAAATTTTAGTGTCCAAGTCTTAGCAGACTTGCCGTATGTCTTTCGTTTCAAGCACGTGTTTTTATCCCAATTTTTGAACTCGTGTTCTTTCTTTTTGTTTTTTTTCGAGATATTTATTCGGTTTTCATATTGTGGTCTTTTATAGGTTCTTTGTTTATGCACATGCAATAATCATGTTATCCTCTTTTAGTCTCCTTTGATTGGTCTACAAATTATCTCCATTATACCTGAAAAGAGACATGACATATAATTAACTACAAAAGGTTGCACAAAGGAAAGTATGAAATCACATGGGAGCTTAGGCTAACATATTTTTATGACATTGACTCTAAATTGCTCTAAAAATCCTAAAAAATGTAACAATAAGACCTAAGCTAAAAATAGAAAATAAAGGTCAGAGTTAAGAAAATTTAGGTTGCCTCCTAATAAGCACTCAGTTAAAGTCATTAACATAACTTTATCTGGATAACCCTCATAGTGCAAACATATTAATCTGCTATCAAGTTTTTCCTATATGAAATGTCAATTAACCTCTATATATATGCTTGGTTATATTGTTTGCATTGGATTATGAGATATCTTAATGGTGGCTATTTAATCACAAAATAATCTAATATGTGTATCAAGTTTTAGTCTTAATTCTTCAATTAACCTTTTTAGCCAAAGTTCACACATCCCTTGAGCTACTGCTCTATATTCTGCTATGTGACCCATTGATTTTTGGTCCTTCATATCACCAATTTACCTCAAACAAATGTACAATACCCTGTAGTTGACTCCTGTCACTGATCGAACCTGCCCAGTCCGCATCTGTTGGAGTTGTGACATTTTGTTGTCACATAACTATTGTAGTTTTAGTTAAAGATTTAGTTACATATTTTTGGTTTAAAGTCTAACTATGAAATGATGTAAAGTTAGACAAGTTAGTGCATTATACAAGTTAGTATGGTGTAGTACTTGTATGTGTAAGANAGTACTTGTATGTATAAGAGTAGTATGGTAGTTGATAGATTAGTTGGTAGATAATTTCTTTGTCTATGTGTACAACTTTGGCTACAAATATAGCCAAGATGTATGAGAAATGTAGAAGAGAATGTTCAATGAAATGATGAATGATATTATAGAAGCATTCATTCCTTTTCCTCTGTTAGTTACCAGCAGCAACAGAGTATATGCTTTTCCATGTTCAATATCCGGTTACTTCAATAACCGGTATATGAAAATATGTTTTTTCTTTTTTTTACTCCTTCAGATCCTCTCGATCCATAAAAATGACTGAATATTAGAGCATTTTTTAAAGAGCTTTTGAATGATAAAATTCCAACATGGTATCAGAGCTTAATTGATCTTTGAAGGGCTGGAAAGGAAGCTGAAAAACAGTTGAAACTGGTAAGTTTGAGCAAATCCAGTAAGCTGAGTCCAAAATCAGTAAGCAGTGTACAAATCCAGTAAGTTAAACACAAAACAGAGTGTTTTATACAAAATCGGTATGTTTGAAAGAATCCGGTGAGTTGAGTGCAAAACCGGTAAGTTTAAGCAAATCCGGTAACTTAAAAAATCGGTACGTGTGTGAAAATTCGGTAAGTTGTGTAAAACCCGGTAAACTCTTTGCAAATTTGGTAAGTTTTGTTTTATTTGAAAATCGATAAGTTCCTTATGAATCCGGTAAGCTCTTACAATACCGTTAAGCTCAATGTAAATCCGGTACTTTCAAAAACCTCAACAGGAGCTTCATCAAATCAACAAGAAATCAAAAGAAAAGATGCAAATGGAAAGTTTCTTTGTATGTGGTTGATCCTAAGCTAAAAGAGTTGACAACTACGATAGAGAGTTACAACCAAGAGAGCCAGATCAAATGGAAAACAAAAGGGCCTCAAGTTTGTAGTCACAGAAACAAAAATGGCCTGGAATATGAAGAAGAATTTTTTTATGGTTACAACAAAATGTCAACGAGGAGTGTTGGAGTTGTGACATTTTTGTTGTCACATAACTATTGTAATTTTAGTTAAACATTTAGTTACATATTTTTGGTTTAAAGTCTAACTATGAAATGATGTAAAGTTAGACAAGTTAGTGTATTATACGAGTTAGTATGGTGTAGTACTTATATGTGTAAGAGTAGTATGGTAGTTGATAGAATAGTTGGTAGAAAATATCTTTGACTATGTATACAAGTTTGGCTATAAATATAGCCAAGATGTATGAAAAGTGTAGAAGAGAATGTTCAATGAAATGATGAATGATATTATAGAAGTGTTCATTCCTTCTCCTTTGTTAGTTCCCAGCAGCAACAGAGTATATGTTTTTCCTTGTTCAATATCCGATTACTTCAATAACCGGTATATGAAAATATGTTTTTTTGTTACTCCTTTCA